CAGGCTGCTTGTTTTTTCTTTCTGGGGAAAACCAAAACTGGTTGCAATTTTCGAATAAGAATGAGTCGGCAATTTTTAGTGGAGACGAAAATTTGGAGGTAAATAAAATACCGAAACTCGACAAATAACTAAGTGACTGAATTTTTAGAGGGGTCGAAATTTTGGAGTTTTTACGGTACAATTCTTATTGCTGCTTGTTTGTGCTTGCCATATTTAAACTGACATTCCATGGTAAATTGGAATGAGTAATCAAACAAATAACGCAACTGTTTGCAGAGTCAAAAAAATAATAGCGCAAATTACTGCATCACATTTTAAATTTGTACATTAAATTTCATTAACACACTGTGCTGAGTGCCTATATGATTAGTGGAATTAGAAAACAAATGGTGTCTACAGAAGATATTGTGATCATACAATAATATCCAAACTGCCTGTCAATGTGTGAATTTGTTTCAAAGTAATTTAATTTTTTCCTAAGTCTAAAATAATTTACTTAATACCATAAGCGTTCATGAACAACAAAATTGCATTACTAGATTTAAATTGATCGTATGCCATATCGCCCCTCCCATGATATAATGAATTATAAATGATTTCTTGCATGACAACCACATTATTTTCGCCCACATTGCGGTAACCATAGGGATTGTTGTGTAATAACCTCTAACTCAGGAAGAAGAATATGAGGTGAATAAGTTACGGATGTTTAATGCCCATTTATAAGTATGGTATCTTTATTTGTTTGCAGTGTGGTGAACTACAAAATTGTTTGTCCGACACCGTGCACAGATATATCGGGACATTTCAGATAAAAAGTAAGTGAAAAGATAATATGTCAACATGCACTCTTAAGAGCCTGTGACCTCATGTATGAATAAATTTGTTGTCGTTTAATTTATTTTACTATTGCACTCTTCTTTCTCAGCATCTCAAATTGTTGGTCAAATACCAAATCCAGATATCCCAGAGCAAATTTCAGTCGAACCACCACTTCTTGGAGAAAGTAAACAACAACCAAGCCAACAAAGTAAGTCCAACCAATCGGGATCGAGTGAGTTCTTATAAATGGGAGTGGCTGAGGTCTACTGTCAGCATGAAATTTTATTATGTGCTGTCCCTGAAAAAATAAAACCTTGTGACTTTTCTAAGATTTAGCCAGAATGGGTAATAATAATTAGCTTTAGCAAATTATCAAATATATAAGCACTTCACAAATTAGAGAATGCATTATGAAAAATCCATTTCAGATTTACATAGCAAATTTAAAGGTACTGTAAAGGGGGTAATTATTCACTGGGTTTTAATTTAGCTTATTTCGCTGACTGGAAAAATGTGCTAAATTAAAACACAGTGAATATGTAAAATTTAGCATAGAACACATTATCTAAATGACGAAACCGTGAATTTAAAACCCACTGAATATGCCCGAAATGGTAAATCAGTGAAATTTAAACCCAGTGAAAATTAGTCATTTTACAGTACTACTGTAACATAGATATCATAGCTTTATTGATTTGATTTCTGTTTGTGATGACGTCTTTTTGTTTGATGATTATTTGAAATTACTCTTAGCCATGAATGGAATTCATTTGATCAAGATCTGTAGCCAAAAGTAAATTCGTCAAAAAATATTCCAAAAAATCCATAAATATGTAGCACTGTAATTTTGTAGTTTTGTCTGATTGTTCTATTTTTTCTATTGTTTTAGTTATAATTGGTTTGGAGACTGGGGCTGTAGTTGGGATCGCATTTGCTGCATTTGTGATTGGAGTTCTGCTGACAGCAGCACTGTGGTACATCCATACCCATACAGGTGAGTTTATATGTAAATTTGTTTGCTGATAAGCAAGGCGAGTTTTGTCTGTAATGAGAAGATATAAAGCCACTTTCATTTTATGTATGGTAACATTATTTGTTGTTCGCTTTACAGGGCCAGTGAATCGCAAAGAAACACAACGTGGACAGGAACTGCAGCAACAACAACAACAACAGCAGCAGCCACTAAACCCATCTTCACAGTATGGAAATACACAAGGAGTCACAGTTAACGGCCACATCGCGAATGGCACTCTCCACTCGTATCCATACCCATCATCATTAACGACACCGATGTCTGCAATGTCAGCGTAAATCTTTAGATGACAGGAAAACTAGAATTATTTTTAATTTTGTTCCAGTTTTTCATTCAGGTATACTGTCTCAGTGAATATATACCTAGTCCTGGGTATTGTAAGCAGAGTAATTTTTAAGTGCAGGTTCAACACACTGGTACTACACGTTCCTGCAGAGACTCAGTCAGGGTTGTTTTTTATATTTTACATCAAGTAAAGTTGATGTGCCAAACTGTACAGAAAAGGATTGAACTGTTGTGTAGTAATGTTGGTGTAATATATTTACATGTCCTTGGAATTTCCATTGTAAGGTCAGCACCACTGAATGAGCAGATCATTGATGTAATGGTATTTCAACTGTTATAATATTTGACATATAGTGACATCATCCATTAATTTTCATGTTGACTTGGAGTTATTTTGAACTTGACAGGTCATGTAGATTTTGATACGGGTCAGAAACAGAAAGATATTGACACAAGTCAAGATGCAGTTGATGTAAAAAAAAAAATTAAGGTAGAAATGGACACAAGTTTGATATAGTTTGACTTTGGTCTGAAAATGTTAGAAATGACATTGGTCAAATAGAAGTTGATACAGGTCAGACATCTCAGATTTAGATATACAATATTTTATTTTATTATTGTGTCTCGTGTGCATGTTTTGTATTTGAAGTATATTATAATATTTCTCAATGTAAATTATGGTACAATTGTGGCTGGGTTTCCTTACTCAGGGATGCCGAGAACATTATACAAGGAAATTCAGATTGTGGTATTTGGGGGAAAATGCCTCGTTTTACCTGCTTAATGATAGAATTAAGAAAGGTTGGGTGTTTTTGTTTTTTTATTTCTGCACATGGGTCAGAATTATTAGAGATTTCAGTTAGATTGTGAAATTTTCCAGTATTTTTATTCTGCCTATATGTTTTTTTTTTGCGGGGGGTGGGGGGGGTGGGGGGGTGGGGTTGCAAACAAATTTGTTGTCCCGGTGGTCCATTTTGCTTAAACCAACTATTTCAAAATGGGGTAATTTTTCACAAAACTAGGATTCATTGCCTCCAGTGATTTCTCATACTACCTCAGATGTGAAAAACAAATTCGCATCTATTGAAATTTATGTCATCGATTTGGTTGTCATATTATCAAATACAAATTTTGATTAAAAGAAAATTTTCTCAGTTTTCTCAGACAAAAGTTTTTAAAATATCTAGTTTTTTTAGTTTTGAAATGTTTTGTATGATATGGTTTGGTTGTACACAACAAGCTCTGTCCCATAATACACTCTGAACTGTTATTACACATTGTCTTACACATATTAAAAGTTTGATTATTTTTTCCATTAAAATTGACTCCAAAAGATGTTTGCTTTAATTACACAAAAATGAACTTTTATTTTATACAAATCCTAAATCAGTTTTATGTCCATAGTTCTTATAATGGTTCATGTGCCTGTAAGTATGAAATCTTTCTCAACTCCCAATTATAACGCGTTATATGTTGACCATCAGAAACTTGTCAAGTTGGTTGAATTGTTAGCTTCGCTGTTGACTTTGTCGAGCTAAGCTTGTCATATTAGTGATTATACTTCTTCTTAAAAACAACAAAACTATCTTGAGTAGACCTTTCTTAGATTTGATCATTTTGTGATGATCTATTTAACTTTCTAATTTTGACGAATATTTTAAATTTGTAATTTTTGGTAAAAATGATATTTTCAAATCCTTGATGAAAACTACAAGTCTGATTGCTTTGATATCATACATATAGGTAACTGACGTTGACCTCTTGCAGATTTGTTCATTTCATGATATCTTCAATTCTCTAATTGAAATGTGCATTGCTAACAGTGGAGCTATCTCAGCTTACAGGCTACTGTATAAACTAAATTTCATGCTTCGGAAGTAGGCTTGGCTAAACAAATTGTTATTGTACTGTTAATTATTTCTTATCTTGCAAGTCATTTAAAACGGGTAAAAATTTGTTATATATCTAATCTATTTGTGCATGGATGTTCCTATTGGCTAGCTGTTTTTTTCCTTTTTTTGCCAACACTTGCGACCATTGCACAGTATCTACGCCATGTCTGTAGGTCCTACAGGTGTCAACACTTGCGACCATTGCACAGTATCTACGCCATGTCTGTAGGTCCTACAGGTGTCAACAGTTGCTCACATGGTTTAGGAATAAATTATCATTTTCTGTTGTCTAAAGATTTTATTTTGACCAGGTTTCTCAATTTGAGAATTTGTTTGGTCATATATCACAAACTTGTAGAAGTTCATTTATAAATTTTGTTTTTGTTTTAAAATTATAATAGTGTGGTATTCCAACCATCATTATCTGGACTTATAATATTCTAATATAATATCTCAAATTATTCGTTTTAAAAAAAGAAAGCTCTGCTTGTATTTTAGTGATTCATGTACTAGCAACACTTTAATAAATATTATTTTTTAAATAAAAAGTAGGTTTATTTTTTTTTCATGTTCCTATTTTATTGGTCAGTATTCTGAACTAAAGTGGGTAGTTTTGAATAGTACCTTTTTTTTTCATAAAAATGACAAGAAACGTGAATTCTGAATCCAATAATACCAATTTTTAAAAATAAAGTGAAATGTTTTTTGCAATGTACTTTTCTCTCAGCAGTGTAGCAAATATTTATTTTGTGTATCATTGAATGGAGGTCAAAGGTAAATGTACTCGTTAGTATTTCCATGAACTAAATTAGCATATTGTATTTATAATATTGAACATGCAGCTTGTCTTTAAATTATTGATAAATGATTGTTCTCAATATATTAAGCACCTACAATGTATTTCTGATACTAGGAAGACTGTTAGGTTTGGGAATTGGGTGTACATGTATTCAAGTATCTGACTACTGGTGTTTAATCAAAGATTTATGCAATGGTGTTTTTTGAAAACATCATTTTAAAATTCATGTGGATTGTACTCATTATGCACATGGTTAAAGTTATAATTGTTTTGAATTAACAGAATTATTTTATTAGTAAAATTTTAATGTACATATTCTATTTTGGATATGTTTTCTCCGCTTCACAGCCATTTTGGTTGATGGTCCCGCTGAACAGCTGAGCGGGCTGCCAGAGACAAAATGTTATCAGGCTAAATTTGTGCATTACAATGTCTGATGTGGAAGTTGGGGCCTGGGTTTAGTGAAAGACTATGTACGTGTACATTAATTTCTCAGACACAGTGAGCTTGGAATGGGGAGGGGAGGGAAGGGGATTGGCATTTATATAATTTTTTATTGGAACGTTGATGATATTGGTCTTCAAGATTGTGTGTTTTCAACTTGAACTGTATACTTTTCTTATTCTTGCAAAACATTTTTTTTTTTCAACGTTATGCAGCTGCTAAGACTCTAAAAAGCGAAATCTACAACTGCAGGGGAAGAATGCATGTTTTGTAAAATGCTTTTTGAATTTGAAATGGTTGGGTGGGTGGCGATGGTGGGGTGTGTACATTGTATTTCAGAGGGAGGGACCAACTAAGCTTAACCAGACAACAGCTATGTAAATATGGTATTTCTGATCTGAAAGTTATTTTAAAATTACTATTTTATTTGACATTAAAATATGCTTATTCTTTAACTATTGTTTTCACTACCATCTAAAGTGTCTGTTATTGATTTTGTTGTAATAACTGAAAGGAGAAAATTAAATAAAAAACAAACAATCCTATACTAGTTTTCCATTACATGCATTGCATTATGTAAAAATTAATATTTTGCACTGTTGCGCAGTATGAGAGAAATTCATATTTTACACCACTGAACAGGTGTACAATGCATTATGGGAGAGAAATTCATATTTTACACAACTGAGCATGAGTACAATGCATTATGGAGAGAAATTCATATTTTACGCAACTGAGCAGGTGTACAATGCATTATGGGAGAGAAATTCATATTTTACACAACTGAGCAGGTGTACAATGCATTATGGGAGAGAAATTCATATTTTACACAACTGAGCAGGTGTACAATGCATTATGGGAGAGAAATTCATTTTTTACACCACTGAGCAGGTGTACAATGCATTATGGGAGAGAAATGCATATTTTACACTACTGAGCAGGTGTACAATGCATTATGGGAGAGAAATTCATATATTACACCACTGAGCAGGTGTACAATGCATTATGGAAGAGAAATTCATATTTTACACTACTGAGCTGGTGTACAATGCATTATGGGAGAGAAATTCATATTTTA